ACCTCACTGGAAAGTTTGTATCACAAGGCTGAAGAAATCAGGGGCCTGTATCCAGAAGTAATAGCAATAAAGGAATCACTTCAAGAGAGACACTCATTCCTCTTTTGTACTCCATGCAGGCCTACAAGTCCACTGGTTACCACGGGTGAGTCTTCCCCACCTCCGTTTGCTGTCTGACGTGTTAGTCATTTACAGACACAACTGGACCTGTACTTCACTAATCTGCTAGGCACTTCTTACAGCAGTCCAGTTGATCTGTCACAATTAATAGTCACAAGTACTTAATAGCAAAAACACAGATTACTGATATAATGAGAAATTGTGTGTTTAAATCAAGTGACAGAATGGCATCACCAGAATTCCTGTGTCAGCTGTCGAACACAATAGTGGTACCTTCAGTCTCAACCTAGCATGCTGTGTATTGACTGAAGTACATTTCACATATTTGGGTCAGAAGAGCTATCAGGAGCAACTCAAAAGCAGCTGAAGGATCAAAAAAAGTATCCTCTATGGCAAGTATGCATTCCACTGAATGATTTTCTGAAATGTGTCGCATAGTCATCTCTGTCAGTGTTTTTTTGTGTTGCTCTTTGATTTATAAATAACATGTTTTCTTGTTCCGTTGTAACATGATGCTCTTGACCTTCAAAGAGTCCACCATGAATGTCGACTGTGTTATGTATTGTCATCTTTTATCCCCTGTTAGCAAAGTCATCTTCGGTGTCACTATTATTATATTGACCTTGATGCAGAACAGTTTGAACTCCTGCATCATCTCTCAGTGAGTGAGCAACTGGAGTTTCATCATTAATATTCATTGCTTTAATATCCATTTTTCTCTTAGTAATGGATTCCAAATGTATGTTTGCTTGTATCAGTAAGGAGGTCAGATATCTTTTGTTCTCAACTGACATAAGGAATCCTTCACAGTTGCCTCCTTATTCATCATCAAGTGGAATACAATTATAGACTGCAAGCTACATCAAGTGCTCAAAACTGTCTTTGATCACTGTGTCCCAAGCTTTGACAACAGCCCGTCTGTCATTCGTCATGCTTAGCTAATTTTTAAAACCTTTCGCACTCACCCCTCTGTTCATTGCTGCTTGCATGAAACTCAAGAAAGTGTTTTTGTAATAAATTTAAGAAAAATGTATCACATAGTCAAAATAAAGAAGTTGCATATAGGGGAAGAAGGTGGCACAAACATTATCTTTGATAATTTCAGCTGGGGGATGAAAAGAATTGCAGGGGTTAAAAAATCTAGTTTTACTGCAATGAGCATGAACTACATATAAAAAGTACTTATAAAATCAGTTGGAAAATCTGTCCCTTCCAATCTGTGACTTTATTGATATAATAATTAACTGGTTAAAAAAATTCACTCCTTTTAACTATATGGAAACAAGAATTTGTCTATCAAAGTAAGTTTACATTTGTATGTGCCTACTTCATTAGCAATCCACAAACAGCTATTCTGTTTTGGCATCCTTCTTTAGGAGCTGTCTCATCAACTCTAATTGAGGTCTTTATGGAGTAATAGTGCCAAACAAGTAACATTTCTTCAGCATTCTAGATTTGTTCTGGCGTCATGTTTTCAACGTGGACCTTAGCAAACTTAGCAACTAATTTCACCCCTGCTGCATGACTAGGAGGACCTTTATCATCACAAACCAAACATTTCATGCCATGGCTTCTCTTAAATTTCTGCAAACATTATGTTGAGTACTCACAGTTCTAATCAATTTCAGTTCATTGTGATCTTCATTTCATAATCATTGCACCACTAAATATTACATGTTCACTCTGATACTGATTAACCCACTCGGTGCATGACTGAAGCTTTTAGTTTCATGCAGCATTTTCCTACTTTTCATTAATTTCTGTTCATCTCTTTCAGCATAGAACTTTAATAGTTTATCTTTCAATATTTTTGGTCTTATATGGTGGTCATTTCAATGTCATACATTTCTGTGAGATGTTTCACACACGAACAATTTTTAAAGTTTAACTTCCTGTATTATAAACACAAATGCTTCTCTTTTTCTTATCAGTATCCACAGTAGTTGCTGCTATCTTTACACCACAGAACAAAGAATAAGTGAACAAACAAACAAAAAAAAAATTCACACTGACTAATACGCCGAGGTTTGCCTGTACATGAAACGTATTGAGGAATCTACAACATGGAATTATGTGGGGGAATCATGCAAGTCTCCAGCTTGAATACTTGTCATTACACTGCGTTTTGTGGGAATGTTTGTGTAGAGACATCTGACTTCCCATGCAAAAATGTATCAGAGCAGGAAGAGACTCTTTTCCTTTATAGATACTAAATAAACTGAACTGTGCACCTGGGTTTTGACTAAACTAGCAACATATGGCCAGGTGTGAAATTTTCCATAATGGCATAATGTCAATATCAAAAAATTTTATGATTTTGGACCATACAATCTTTGGGATTTTAGGATTAGGGATGATCAACTTATATAAATTTTTATTTGTACAGGAAATTTTTGCATTATTTTTACTTGTGCATAAATATACTTATTAAGATTTTTTGTTAATCATATTTGTATTTTTTTGGATCATGTTTCAGATACTGTACCACTAGGCTTATTATATTTGTTAGATTTTTCCTGTCTTTATTATTAGACATATTTACTTTTTTATCGTTATATATGGAAGCTTTTAATAAGATGTTAGAAGTTATATACAATAATATCTAAATGGTATTACTTATCTGGAAAAGTCTTCATCTTCTGTTTGGAAAATAGACGAAGAAAATAGTAACTTCACTACAACTTTGATTGACATAAGGAAGAAAATATTAAGACATATATCTTATGGAATTTCTACTAAGATTTTCATTGCTTCTGTTTTTGTAATCTGTAAAAGGCAGTGGATGAGTTCCAATGCCCATAGTTTCAAATATCAATTCCGTATCCTGGGCACCAAGCTCTTTCAAAATCAAGAAAATACTTTAAAGGTGAGATAGACATGAGCTTGGTGCAAGGTCCCTTTGAGGAAGTCTTTGCTTCCTGAGTACAATAGGAATATATATGTCTCTGTCTTTGGAAGCTTTACCCTGCCTCTCCAGACTCTCACAAATAATTTAAGTTAGCAATGTGACATGAAGACAACTGATTTTTAAATTTGATGCTCCTAAATTTCTAATTTATTAATCTTGTCTTGGGTAGGCACTAAGATATTTCCATGTTTCCTCATTAGAGGCTAATTTGATTTTATATTAAAAACTATCAAATGCTCCAGGAAAAAAGACAGTCTCAGAATTCAGAATGGGTCTTCCTTTTAAGTAATTATACTTTTCAAATAACTGTTTTCATAACCCTCTGATGCACTTAACACCATTAATATATATATATATATATATATATATATATATATATATATATATATATATATTTGTCATTGTGTAGGTTTTTCCTGCAGCAGAATTACTGCCCTTTCCAAACTTATTATGTATTATCTAAAATTATGTTTTCTGTCATTTTGCTTGAAGTGGACAGAATCGTTATCAACACAGGTTTATTTTGAAGTAAAAGTACTCAAAAATTAAGTGAGTCCCCCAAAATAGTGAAGGTCAGAGAGAACAACTAAAAACAAATACATATTGGTTGCAGTACTTTACATTTCCACCAGCAATGTAGAAGGGCTTCTTTCCTGCCTCGCTGCAGAAAATGGATACACCTAGAGACTGTAATGTCAACTGAAATAAATATAACACACAGACTTAAATATCTCATGGTTTCTCTTACATCAGAAAATCAAAATATAAATATAGACAAAAGGAAAAAGATGGATTTTATTTTAAAAAGGGAAGGTGACCAAGAATGGAGGGAGAAGAGTGGCAGAATAGGACAAAAGATTAAAAAAAAAGAAAGAAAAAGGAAAGACAGAAGATACATTATGTATATATATTCCTCTCCAGGAATGTAATTGATATGCATGGCAAACATGAAGAACAGCAATAAGAATAACAAAAAAGCCTAAATATATTTCTTGTGATGCCTTATTCTTTTATCTACTATGCCAGGGTTGGTATTATAGTAGTCAAGTTTCAATCAGGGAAAGAGAAACCACAAATATAATCTTGAAAAGAATTAAATGTAGGCAGACAGACAAACAGTTGCTGAAGAGAAGAAAAATTGAGGGAGACATTGTGTTAGTTTTTGTGTTATAGATGAGATAAACTTAAAAGTGAAGTGTATATCTGGTACCTAACATATACCTATACCTTTCCTATTCCTATACCTATACCTATACCTATACCTATACCTATACCTATACCTATACCTATACCTATACCTATACCTATCTATACCTACCTATATACTTATATCTATCTTGTCAGGCAAGAGGGTATATTTATGGATTTGAGTAGTAAATGAAAGAAGTTGGGAATACTTGAATCTTGAATAGTGGTCCTGGCACTATGGATCTGAGACTCAGAGCTCTTAATGGTTTTGCTAAATTGGTCCTGGGAATTTGGGATACTGATAAACAGCTTAAAGACCTGGGATTCAGAGCTCTGAGAGGGTCATATCAGATAGCTATGTGGGTATTTCTGAGGCTGACAATCATGTTGGTCTGAAGTGAGTTAAAAAGAACAATTGATGGAGGGTAGATTAAATTCTAAGTATCATTGTGAAAACAAAAGCTGCTTTTTAGGAAACACAGACATAACAGGAAAAAATAGGTCTCACAGACTTCTAGGTTTCTGTTTATTCTCATTCTATAGAACCCTATGTCTTTGTATAGAGAAAGCTGATGCAGCAGTGGTGTTTTTTCCTACAAAGTAGATGCAAAAAGGAAAGGAGATTTAGAGCTGAGAGCAGTAACTTAAATTTAAAATAGGTATACCACCTATATGTCATGTCTCTTCCAGGAAGAAAATGAAGTAAATTTCAGGAAAAAAAAATCTTCAACTTATTTTAAAACAGTGAAGAACAAATAAAATCATATTAGGAATTAATTTTTAATTAAGGACGTTTTATGGGAGGTGGAGTCTTTGGAATTGGAGTTGGTTGCCTTTGTATGCTAGGTTGACCCAGGGAATGCACAGAACCAGCTTCACTCCTGTGGGAAAGCACGGAACCAACTTCACTCTTCAGGGAACTCACGGATCCGGGTTCACTCTTCTGGGAGTGCAAAGAACCAGGTAGACTCGGTAGCTTTTTCTCAGATGTGGGAAGTTGTTTCCCTTTTTTCTTACTTCTCCTCTTCATAAGAAGGCAACAAAAACAACATAATAAAATAAGCAAAATAATAAGGAGCAATATACACAAGTAACAAAATTTAGGTTCCCTCTTTCTTTTAGGGGGTGGGCCACTGTCAACACTGCCTCCATAACCTTTTATTATACAGGTTGGAGGGTCCCACAGATAGTTGCAGTGACAATGTTGCTTATTATTGCAGATGCCTCTCATGTTGCAGAATTCAGGTGAACAGTTACTGTCCAGTTGAGATATATGGACACAATGTCTATTGATGCAGAGATGTTCTTCACCACATTTTGTGCCATCTTTTACATCACCGATATCACGAATTTTCATCCCATGGTGGTAATCAGTACCCCAGCAAGTTGCATCATTGAAGTGGGTCCAGTGGATTGTAGTATGGTCATTCAAAAGGGGAAGTTCTTTCACACTGTCACACTGAAGTCTCCCACACATGATATCTGACATGTTACATTTTATATATCTAGGACCACTGATACCACAGTGACCAAAACGATTACCTTGAGTATTCAGGTTTTTATAGCAAATCTCTTTTGCGCTCCTTGACTCATGGCCAAAAATCATCCTGCAACTTTCATTGTGAGTATGACATTCCCTTGCATAGCAATAGGCACTCTCATTACAGGGAATCCCATCTTCCACATACACATCATGTGGGCACATAGGGGAAGTCCCATTGCACCACTCTGGAAGATCACATATATTTGCCTCTTTTCTACACAGTTCCCCTGATGGTAAAAATTGGCAGTCTTTACAGCAAAGCCCAAAGGCACAACTAGCCCCATAACTCATAGTGCAGTTTGGTAAGCAACATGGGTCCTCTGCACAAGATCGTAAAGATCCACAATCACACTCCTCGTCCTTTTCAACAATGCCATTCCCACAGCGTGTCCTATCAAAGATGTCCTTTGAGTATATATTTTCTAGCAGACACGGTGTCTGGGTTAGAGTGAACCACCAAAAAGTATTATAACTACAGTTGCTAAATAGCGTTACAGGTGGGTTATCCTCATGCATTAGGCATTTGAATGCACCACATCTGCATGTATATTCATCATGGTACATGCCCAAATTATGACCTAGATGATGAGATACAGCAATTGCAAAAAGGGCCAAACTTCTGTTCACCATAGTAATGAGTGCACAACCACGTCGTAGTTTACATGCTCCTCTATTTGCTCCTAAGCCGCTTAATCCTCTTAATTCTCTGTACATGTAAAGGTGTACAGTATCGTGTTTCAGTCGATGAAAAATATTATCAGCTTTCCATCTGCAAAATTCATCCAGAGATTTTCTTACATCATCTATTACAACAGGATTTGGAGTAGTCCAGATTTCTAAGGCACACAATAATACCTTAATACCCACAAAATAGTAAACGGAATCCACCATATTAGCTACATAATATAAATCCACCATCAACTGTGATTCATTTTTTCCATAATGAAGGTACAAGTAATTATCAATCACCACTACAATTTCAACAGTCTTGTGATGGATCCACCAGCCGTAATGTAAACTTTGCCTGAGAGTGAAATCTTTAATATCTTCAAATTCCACATCGTCCTTTATTTTATCTTGAATAATGTCAGATGTTTTGTTTGAGTATTGTCTCTGCTCATTGTCCAAGTTGTATACTAAATGTTCAAATGTAGTAGAAAACATTGCAGGCATGATTTCATAAGCAGTGCTGTTTATCTGTAACATTCCTTGAAAGCCACCAAAACAGTCACTGAGAGCCACCAAAGATTCTGAGTCTCCTTCCACATAACCATGATAATAGCAGTCACTCCTGACAAAAGGGTGGTCTTCAAGCAGAGCACCCTGCTGTGTATAAGTGTATACTGGGAGGTTCTTGAATAGCAAATTTTTCTTGGGCTTCATGTGGATAAAATGTGTCTGGCCCCCAAAACGTAGGCTATAGGAAAGCCATCCTGGAAGCTTAATTCCTCTGGCTGTGCCAGGTATTTTTAAGGGTATCACTACCTCTGGGGGGCTGTGAAACTGGTACTGTTTAGTTTGAGTGAATCCAGGAAAAGACAGAAGCACCCCGAACAACTGCACCAGGAATAAGACCCTCAGGAATAACAGAGCTTCAGTGATAGTCGTCATGAAGCCACGTATATAGCAACATTACTTTGGAGAAGTCCTAGTGTGGCTCCTTCTTGAAAGCTGGCTTATACGCAGTGCTGATCACTAAAGTTCTGTCTTTGGGCAAAGTTGAATCACCAGAGTTGTATTCCTGTAAGTAAAATAAAAACGAACATATGGATGGGAGTCATGAAAGAACACAATGGAGAGAAAGAAAAAGGCTCAGGATGAAAATGGTTTGTGCTTTGATGAAGGAATAATGCAAATAGATTTCCTGTAATTTTCTATTAAAATTTGATAAGGAAGAGGAGGCCAAAGGCCACACAAAATGAATAAATTCATTTTTACTGAATGGTAGGCAGGATACATTAATGATAATATTCCTTACAGGCATAAATATTTGCAAATATTTCCACAATAAATATTTATATCAAAATGGTCATGAGGGTAAGTTGAAAATATATCTTGTATTGCTCAGTTCCAGTTTATTCATATTAAACTGGTATAAATATTAATAACTTTACTTTTCAACTTTAGATTAACAAATTTTTGATTATATAAGCTATTACATGTTTTAAAAATTTGTGTTGTTTTAAATTTTCTTCTATATTGGCTAATCTATACCTCCTTGTAGTAGAATATGGAGTACAAGTTGAGATTAAGCTGTTATCCTTTCAAAGCAAAAAAAGAATACAAAACTACAATAATATTGAACAAGCTTACAAAACTAAACTTTTATTGGGGCAGTCTACAAATTAGGGTATAGTATTTAAATGTACAAAAGGCAACTATGTCCAAAAATAGAAGTTTAAATAGAATCAAGTGTCACTTACACAGTGACATCAGAAAAATGGAGAAATGGGAAGCCGTATAAAATCTTGCTCCAATAAACCCACTAATTCAACAATAGTCAGTGGGAAAGTTGTCTTCATGAGAAATGCTGAGGAGAACTGCAAAGTTCCTAGTGTACAAATGCAAATTTAGAATCACCTAAGTCTGTGGGAAATTTAGAATACCATCTCAATGGAGTGTCTGTCCCTGGTGTGGCATTGTATAATCAAGAAGTGAACCTTTAGCTTTTAACTTTACTAAGAGGTTGGAAAGCGTTGGTTATGTGTCCAGAGATTTAACTTTTTTAAGGGAAACTTCAAGGGAACTGTCTTCTATTTTACCAGTCTTGGAGCTCTGACTAGCCTGCCATAGTCTAGTAGAACCGTTACATGCCACCTCCTACTTCTTAGCACAGAATTAATACAGTTTTCAGCTTTCTGCTATGGAGAAAGAGAATTAATCTGTGTGCACAGCATCCCAACTTCTCTAAAGTTATCCAAACGACTGGCATCTTTCTACCTACTTTTAGAGCTCTGACACATTCAATACAGGGTGGGCACTTGTGCAAAATTCAAACTGGGGCTTGATTGTCCCTACTCAACATCAAGAAAACATATTAAAAAGTTCCACCTCTCAGTTTTCACTAGGAGAGAAAAGTTGGACATCCAATGTCCAAAATTCTTCAAGGCTTTGCAAAGAACTGGTATCCGACTAGACAAAACTGGAGCTCTTATTGATCTGGCACATTCTTGCTTTCCACAGCAAGTACTGAGGCTTGATCTCATAAAAAAGTATATGCTCTTCTTCCTCCTAAGATTTGAAGTATCAGGCAGTATATCCCAGCTTTCATTTTTCTCTTGGAGAAGTAATGAGTGGATGCATGTTTCCAGTCCCCGTGCTTGTTCAGTGGTACACAGAGAAGTGACATTGACTTTCCAGTCTTGAATCCCTGATGGACCATTGTAAGCAGCCATCTAGGAGAGAACACTAGCACATTGGACTAGTTTACATAAAAGCGACTCATCCTTATCAGCACAGAATACCTGAACAAAATAGTACCTGCCCATTTTGCCCTGGAAGAAGAATTAGTAAAACAAATAGAATCTCTGGATTAGGCAGTTTTAAGGAAGTCTTTTCCTGCTGAAGGCCCGTGTGTCAAGATAGAGAGAGAATTTGCCTTGTTTAACACCAAACATCAACGCAGAGAAAGAGGATTATGAAACCGACAAAGATGTTCCAAAAAAAAAAAAACAAAATGTAATAATTTTTTTAGGAACTGACACATAGATATAGGATTTACCTAACATGGAATGCAAGAAAAAAATAAAAATGAGGCTTTCTGTATCACAAAAGAGAACAATGGGTGAACAAGCTAAGAATTTCAAGAAAGGATATTTAATGAAAAGCCAGAAATTATGAAGCTGAGGAACAAACAACAGAATTTTTAAATTCCATGAAAATCTTCAAAAACATACTAGATCAAGCAATCACTATGTGGTCTTGAGGACATGGCACTGAAAAATTAATAGTAACAAAAAAGAGGAAAAATGGGGAAATCTTAAGGAACACTTTCAGATAGATGAGTAGGTACAATACGAAAATCTTGCAGGATAGCAGAGAAAGAAAGGACCAGAAAGCCTATACAATGAATAATATTTAAGGAATAATGTGTTCATCAACACATCCCAAATAAGAGAAAAAAATAGATCCAGAAAATCCAAAGCTTTCTTAACAAGATAAAAATAAAGAAATCTATAAATATTTCATAATCAAAACATAAGAAATAAAAAGAAAAAAATTTGAAAAAAGCAAAAGAAAAAGCTGGTCATAAATAAATGGTTATATATTAGGGTCATATATCTTTGTGAAACAGCAATCTTGTAGGACAGACTGGAGTGAAAAAACTATTCAAGAAGAATATATAATAAACATAAATATCTCTCAGTAGTGAGCAAGAGTTAAGGTCTGTCTCACAGGAGAAGTTGCAGTAGTTCATCACTTAGACGTACCTTACAGGAATTGCTAAAAGTTCTCCAAGTTAAAATGATACAGCATTAAACAAAAAGAGCAATAGTGTAGGAGAGCTAACAATCTCAGTGACAAAGGTAAGTACATGGACGTGCCAGGCATGGTGGCACACATCTGTAATTGCAGCAATAGGCAGAGACTGAAGCAGGAGTATCCCTGTGAGTTCCAGGCTGGGCTGGGCTACATAGAAAGATCATGTTCCAAACAAAACAACACAAAATGAAACAGAAATGCTATTTTACAACAATAGTACTTAAATAATAATGTAATATTTATTTTTAATTTATATATTTAAGGTGTATATGTTTTCTTACACAATATTTTACATATGTGTATAAGTTAAAATTGTAATCATGACTTAATTCTATTTAAGTTAAAAGATTAAAGTATTAAAATATCTTTAAAGGTGTATACTATTAACTGCAAATTGTGTTATCAGTACTATACACAGCATTCTGTGATGCAGAGTGTCTGGATGAGATTTAAGAGTTTAGTGTAGCATGACTATGTGCTATTGAACTTTGCTTATCAGCTCAAAATAGACTAGTGTAGCTATAGTTATTAAGTGCCAAGATAAACACAAAAGGAATACTTAGACAATTTATATAAGAAAAGCAAAGACAATTGCAATATATCAAAATCATTGATCTAATATAAAGGGAGGGGCAGGATACAACTAATTACAAGGCAAGAAAAAGGAATTAACATAATGACTAGTGAATCTATCTTTATCTGTGATTAAATTAAATGTAAATAGGTTAGACTCTGCAAACAGAGGTTTAAAAATTAATATGTAAAAACAAACAACAAAAATAAACAACAAAAGACTCAACTCTAATTTATCTGAAAGCAGCTTACTTTAGATTTTTAGACGGTGTTTAGGTAAAAATTTTTAGATTTGTCAAGGTAAAAAGACAAAGATATATTTGTGCAACTGGCAGTCAAAAGACAAAAATGGTTAGCTGTACTTATAGAAAAATAGATATGAAATCACATCTGTCACAGAACCAAGGAAGAATGTTATATAGTGATAAAGTGCTAGCATTCCAGAAAGATGTAATATGTGTATGTATATGAAACCAACACAGACAACATAAATAAGTAAATCAACCATGAGCTAAATTAAATGAGGCAAAAATACAATAATGATAGAAACATCAATATTTCACAGGCAACAGTAGATAAAATATAAAATATAGTCATACAAAGTAGAACCAAATGCGTTTTACAGACATGTAGAGAATATTCCATCAGAACATCCATTTTCAAAGCACATGATATATTTCTAGAATACATTAAAATTTAGATAAAAAATCTACAGAAAATGTGAGTGGATTGAAATGACAATTGTGATATGATTAAAATGGAGTTTAACAATTATTAGAAGAAGTAAACTTTGAAAATTCATAAATATATTAGAATTAAGCATCATATTATTGAACACTAACTTTATCACAGAAGAAATTAAAAAAGACAACCAAAACTTTGCAGATGCAGGCAAGGTAGTACCAAAGTAGATATAGGAGTAAATGCTCGTGTTTAAAAAGGTAAAAGTACCCAAGGAAAACAATCTCACTGTCAGTGGTGCAAAAGAAATACAAAGCAAGTCTAAAAAAGGACAAAATGAAGGAAATAAATATTCAAGAAGTCATAAATGAAATAGAATTTTTAAAGGGAAAATATCAACAAAATAACTATGCCCTTGAAAATAAACAAAACTGATGAAACTTTAGCCAGACTTACAAAAAAGCAGACTCAAACAAATCCTCAGGATTAAAAAAATTACACAATATAAGCAATGCCACCAAAATAGGAAAGGAATACAGACACTGATATGAAAAAAGATTTATATAAAACTTTATAGCTATAATACAAGTTTTAATACTACCATACTGTGTTTAGTTTTTCTTATATTTTTCCACTATTATCTACACTTTTATTTCAACATATATGAACTCACTTTCAAATCTCAGAATAAAACCACAAGATTCATAAGAAAACAAGTCAACATGATCTCTCCAAAAATTTATGAATTACCTAAAACTGATTCCATATATAGTGAAAAAGATGAAATGCCAAATGTCCTAGAGAAATGCCAAAGAACTCTAAAAATTGGTAGTTAAAATGATCAGCAAATTTGAAGGGGATACAAATAAGCAGCTGAATTAATTAAGAAATACAATGAATGATATGAAAGACTATTTCATCCTAGAGTTAGAAATTCTAAAAGAAAAATCCAAGCAGAAATCATGGAAATGAAAACATCAATAAGTTAAATAACAAAAATCCATT